ATTTAAATATCGCGGTTCCCGAGCTTCTTATGACTGACTCCTTCAATAAAATTTCGTCCTTATATAAAGAACCGTAAGACCGCCTAGACCTGACCTGACCCTTGGCGAAAATACTGGAATGTGACGTCATACTGGTATTATAGCCGAGGGGAGATCCCATGGATGTTGACCTGCATTGTCTCGAATGAACTGGAACGGGTTTTTTTTATAGCGGCTCGGCTGATTTTCGTCAGGTAGGTATACCTAGAACATTCATGAATGAATAAAAACATATTAGTAAAATATATTTACGATTTTGGGTCAGAATTTATCGTAACAATATCATCTGGTCCTGGGGTTTTGTTACTTTTTAATAGTTTGATAGCCTGTACAATTTCAGATTTCAAAATATTTGGGCCATAAAAATGGTCTCTCAGTTGTGGTGGTTTTTGTGTTCTGTCATCATTGAACAAATTGGCTGTGTATATTTTCCAAGTATTAAGTATATCGCTAGGGTCCGTTAATTTCCTTAATTTTCTTGTGAAGATTGAAACTGTCGCCGAGTTTATATAGAATTTCACCCTCGATGCTAAGTGTAGTCATCCAGATCTCCTTTGCCGCTATAATTTCTTTACGAATTTGACTGTGTATATTTCGGTACCCTACTTGGTCTTGCCTAATCTTACACTGAATGCGTTGTTCCATCATCTCTAATATTTCTTCTGTCATCCACTCATTTTTGGTAGTTGTTTTACTTTCGAGTAGAAAAGTGTTGTTCACCTCATCAAATGATTCTTTTATGGTGGTCCATGACTTTTCAACATCATCCTCAGTTGCCATATTAGAGAACCTATTGTTTATTTCCTCCGTGTACGCTTCACTTGTTTCATTGTTTTTGAGTTTTCTAATGTTTACTGATGCCTTCTGGTGTTTTCTTTTAGTTGTAGCAAGCCTCAGTTTAATATTTGCTACTAAGAAATTGTGGTCAGATCCTATGTCTGCTCCAGGTAATGCAGATACTTTAGTAATAGCATTCCTGTACCTTCTGTTAATTGTCACATAATCTATTTGGTTCCTTATAATGCCCTGATGTCCGTCTAAAGGCGATTTCCATGTATAAAGCCTCCTGGGTGGTAACTTATACCAAGTATTCGTTATGACTAGATCTTTGTCTTGATAGTACTGTATCAATCTGTCCCCTCTGTCGTTTCTCTGACCAAGACCATATTTTCCAACTACGTGATCTACGTCTCCTTCCCCAATTTTTGTGTTAAAAGTCTCCTAATAAGATGTTAATTTCGTGATTTTTAATCACCTTTAAGGCTTCGTCTGCTGTAGGAGCGTAGACTTGTATAATATTTATGTTAACTTTTCCATGCAACTGAATAAGTATGACTCTTTTGGAGATCGTTTATCTCTCTTTCGTTTATCAGAACTCCCACTCCATGTCTGTGGTGAGGGTCTGTGCTATCACTGCATGAGTGGTACAGGGTTTTACCAGTAGTATTGATCATACCTGTGCTTTCCCATCGCAATTCGCTTATGCCGAGAATATCGATGTTAATTCTGTTCATTTCCTGAATTAGATTTTGTAGTTTGCCTGCTGCAAATAAGCTTCTGACATTCCACGTTGCAATTTTGGTTATCTTATCAAGTTGAAACCGGGAGATTCTTCGCACCCCCTGGCCATTTAAGGCCTGCCCGGGACTAAGGGCCGTTTGTTTTGTTTCTTTCGACATGACAAGAAAAAATCGACGGACGGATGTCCTGAAGAATATAATGCGGTAGTTTCCTACTTGCTTTCCGCACAGTACCGTAGCCCTCTAACTGTTTCAGTCTCACCTTCGGTATTCTAGTAATAAGCCGGTTTAGGATCATTTTCTTTACGCATAATTCTAGTACTGGTAATCGCTGCTGCTCTTCACCAGGTTGATTCTATAATATCCCTAGTAACAGGGTTATAACAGGTTATAATATCCCTAGTAACCCGTATCCCTGGGCAAGGGGGCTGTGTTATACCCATCGAGCAAAAAGACAAAAGAGGGAATGTAAAGGTAGTGGGGGCAAAAATATTGTTAGACAGGAAGTGCGATCTTTAGAGGCCACATTAAACAAGGAAAGAGAGTCTCTCTCCTTGTTTGACATCAAATTTAGTTGGGTTATGTTATTGTTTGTCCCAAATGTGACATGAAATCTTATGTATATTGAAGTTTTTTAACAATTGTGTTGCATTTTAGACTATTACCATTAATAATTAATTAAAACTTTCTCGTCTAAGACACATTCTGAAAAATATTATATAGCTACTGTTAATAAGTGTCGGAAAATTTAAATTTGCCGCATTCGCATTTCCGGATATGTCCGCCATCAGAGGCCACTTTTTTGGTCTCCTTTTCATAAGCATTAGATTCCCTCTTTTGACTTTTTGCTCGATGGTTATACCCCACGGAACTGGGTCCCTATCTGAACTTAGCCATCTACTAGCTCCGGAAGAAGAAGCAAAAGATGCCCACCCCGCGACATGGACGCGCCAGACAGAAATTACTCATATGAGCGACAGAGAAGGTGGCTCTGTGCCCTATGAGCCGAGTTAATGGGAATGTTTGATTCCATTCTCAAAGGTTGTTAATAGCGTTGCGAATATTTTGCTTCAACTTTTCGATGGTGGCTGATGGGTTAGCGTAGACGATGTTTTTTAAATACCCCCACAGAAAAAATCTAAAGAGGTAAGGGCAGGAGATTTTGGGAGGAAATGAATATCACCATTTTGTGAAATCAGTGTGCTTGGAAAAATTCTGTTAGGGCGTTTATTGAAGTGTTCGCTGTGTGTGGCGTAGCACCGTCTCGCTGGAACCATATATTGCCTCGATTATACCCTGGAAAATTATTAAATTCTGGACGTAGTCAATTTCGCAACATGGAAACAGTATATCGTGCACTGTTGACAGTTAGCGTGAGTCCCCTAGCAACTTAAAAAAAGTAGGGTCCGATGATCCCCGATGCAGACATGTCACACCAAACCGTCACCTTTCTTGAATGTAACAGTTTCTGGTGTAATTCATGCGGATTTTCAGGACACCAGTAGCAAGCATTGTGCTTGTTGACATATCCATTAACCGTCATCCCAAAAACGAGTCATAATATCCTCAGAAAACTTTTTCCTCAGTAAGTGACCAGTTTCTTTCAAATATTGGCTTAACTAAATTTTGTAAGGGTGAAAACTTAAATCCTTCTTTAAAATACGCTGGATACTAGCACGAGACAAATTTAGAGCTTGTGCATGTTTGCGAAGTGAACGTTGAGGATTATCGATCACACCATGTCGAACTCTTGCACTATTGACAGGAGTTCGAATACTTTTTGATTTGCCTGGATGTTTCACATTTGTAACAACTCCTTCTTGTCTAAATTTCTTTACCTATGCGTACACTAATATCGCGGATATGCATCACCCACGCGTCTAATATTGTACCGCGCACAAAAACGCCGGCGAGCGACTGTATAGGAATCGTTGGCTTTAAAATACGCGTCAACCATGTACGCAAGTTGCGTCTTGTGGAAACAGGAAGTATTTTTGAAGTGCCATGGCCATATTTGCAGCCAGTGTCAAATATTCAAGTATCCTATCTTTTATTAATGAAAAAACACAAATAACTGTACACTGGACTCCACAAACAACACATTAAAAAATTTGGTTATTGTACGGGTGTCAGAACTCGACCATTTTTATTGGAATTGAAGCAGCAGATTTAATGTGTTTTTTGTGTAGTCCAGTGTACATTTCTTTGTGTTTTTTCAATCATAAAAGAAAGAAAAAATAAAATAGAATTAGCATGTTTCTGCTTACCATATGATCTCTCCTAGTAGGATACTTAAATATTTGATCAAAGCTCATAAAATGGCTTTTTAAGCCGAAAGCACTAACTTTAGGATTTAAAATCTTTTACACAGTTCAAAAATACTGCTACAATGTCTAACTTGTACTTATCAATCTCTTGGTTTATTTAATCCAATTTGCCACGTTCGTAAAGGATTTTTATATTCCATGCTCCTATGAATATGTCTTCTCTTTTGTCCATTTCGGGTTTATCTTTCGTTTTTGGCCGTTTTTCTACTTTTCTCAAAAATGTTTTTTCTTCCAGTTTAATTACTTCTTCTATTCCAACATTGATTTTCATTTCTTTTTCCATGAAGTTCCCTACAGCTTGTTTCAGTACAATTCTAACTTTTCTTTTCTTTTCTAGTCTTTCCAAATGAAATTTCGTATCTTTGGTTGGTAGGTTTTCTGGTTTAACTTTCTTCATTGCTTTCTGCAGGTCATGTAGTTCCGTAAAGTACTTTCTTTCTTCCTTCTTTCTCTCTTTTACTTCCGTTGTTAAACTTTTTGTTCTTTGATAAGTCCTGCATAATTTTGATTATTTGATCGAGCTTATTATCCTCATTATAAGTTATTATCTTCTGATGTATAGTCGTCTGAATCTATTTTGTATTTATAGATTATGTTTAACAGGGTGTTAACAAATTCGACAACTTACGTGACGCAACCAGCGTGTATTATTCAATAATCGACTGAACACTTCTTGACGATGTGTATATTTCAAATAATGCTGATAAAAATGTACAAACAATTTTTTAATAAAAAAAGAATTGTGGATGTGTTTCCTTCTATTTGATCTAAAGATAACTAGAAATTTTTGATGTCAAATGTTTAGTTTGGATAATAGCGATATCCACAATTTTTAACGAGAAGTTTATTTGGCATAATCGCTCTGTGATCTCTTTAGGACTCATACCATTTTAAAATCTTTTATTTTTATAATTTGTACAAACATCATGATTTATTTTGCGCTAGCCTAAAAAATCATATCCAGTAACCAGGGATAAATATAATTTGTGTCCTGTCAAGTTGACCTGACATTTCGCACAAATTTTTGTATTTTAAATTTTATGTTTAGAAGAACAAACAGTGGTATGTCGCTAAAACCAGACTGAATGGATGTTTCTAAAAAATCAATGGTAAAGAAAAAACCTTCGTATTAAAAAACAGATGGCGACTCATCTGAGTCCACGAAATTCCGAAGTAAATGCTCTAGAACAAAGGGGGTACCTAATCGGAAAAAAAATTGGCCAAGGTTCATATGCTACTGTACATTTAGCTGATTTTGTCGACAATGCCGGCCCAAAGAAGATGCGCCTTGCATGCAAAATTTTTGACAAAGAAAAAGCTCCTAAGGATTTTCTAGAAAAGTTTTTTCCTAGAGAACTAGAGATTCTAACTAAGATTGAAAACCAACACATTATACAAGTACATAGTATTCTGCAAAGAGGACCTAGGGTGTTTATATTTATGAGGTACGTCATTTTTTATAAAGTTACTTTTATTTACTTGACAAATGAAAAAACTTACATTAGTAGGTATATAATATTTTTTCCATTTTTGTACAATTTGTTGCTCTTTGTGTTTAATACCTAGTCATCATTTATAATCTTTATTTTTTTATCTATTTTAAATATATGACATAGAAAACATGGAAAAAAAGTAAAAACAGGAATAACGTGTTTAGTAGGTACATGAAGGTAAACGACTTATTAAAACTAAAATGAGATACCTCAACAAGCTACTTCATAATCCTTCAAGTACTAGGTCATCTTTCATAGTACTAAAGTGGAACCAATCTTGAAATATATTTAACAAATTACTCAAAAATTTTCAGAGAATTCACGTAATATGAACATCACTAATCAACTCTTATGTTTCCCAAATATCTTAAGTAGAAAACGAATTCCACAGAATCATAGACAAAAACATAATATTTTTTTTAGGTTTCATGTTATCCATTACTAATAGAAGACATGTGCCTATGATGGAACCCTTAAGGAAAAAGCTCCATAATAATTTTAATTGTTTACTTAGCTGGCTTTAAATAGATAGATAAAATTTTGATATTAAATTAAGCTTTTCAGAGTTTACTAAAATCCTGTTTTAAGGGTCCATCATGGGCATATATGCGCTCATGATGGACCCTTTGATACGCTAATGATCGACCCGTTTTATTTTGTATAAAATAAGTAAATACCAAATTATTTTATTAAACCAAAAGATATTCTAAACGGTAAATAATATTACAAATAAGTATTTTTAGGAAAATGTTTTAAGAAAATTTACATGCACAATTCACACACAAATTGTTTACGTTCAGGATTTACATCTGCACATGTATTTCTTCTTCTTCATGTACCATGTCCTTTCAGAACGTTGGTTACCATCATAGTTATCTTAATTTTATCACTGCCCCCCTTAATAGCATGCGTGTATCAACACCATGCCAATCTCGCAAGTTCTTCAACCATGAGATTCTTCTTCGTCCTGGACTGCGTTTGCCTGCTATTTTTCCTTGCATGATATTTTGTAGCAACCTATATTTGGGACCTCTTATTACATGTCTGAAATACTCCATCTTTCTCTGCTTGATGCTTTTTATGATCTCAGTAGTTGCTGAGACGTTCTAGTATTGTGGAGTTTCGAATTTTCTCCACCCAGGAAACTTTTAAAATTCTTCTATAGCACCACATTTCGAAAACCTCAAGGCGATTTAGATTGATTTTATTCACAGTCTAGGACTCGACACCATAAAGTAAGAGCACACACACACATTTATTGTGACACCAATTCTTACCACTTGACAACGAATCCATTTTTCTTTGGATCGTGAATGCGAAAATAGTTCGTTACAGTAAATGCAAGCTGCATCGTCCAAGTCGTCTTCTTCAAAAAAATATTCACAATCGTCTTCAGAACTGTTTGATGTTGAAACACAAACTTGCCTTTTCACTTTTCTTGCGTCTTGTTTTCTTTTTGTTTGCTTCTTTTTCTGAAATATCATCAATTTCTAACGTTAAATTTAAATATCCTGTTTTACCCCGTTTTCTAACCCTTTTATGAGTTACTTCAGATACTCCAGCTAAAGGAGGAGGACAAATGTATTCGACCGAGATGTTTAGGACTGAAGATGATGTTGATTTCTGATCAGTAATTTTTGATAAACCTCCAATCGAAGAAACATTTTGGTTCCGATGTTCCGGTAGTGAGTTCTCGTCAGAACATCCTGGTAGTGGGTTTTCTTCATAATTTTCTCTATCTGTTGTTATAGACAGCAAAAATTGCGAATCCTCGAAGACATCTAGATTGAACGGTTTTGTTCCTGTCTTTTTAAATGCATTTATTGTATTTGATGGAAGAGCACTTTTTAAATAAGCTCTATTAAAGATACTGGCTACTTTAAATTAAGTAACTGTTTTATCTGAATTCTGTCGCAGCCATAATTGAATTTCTTGGTCGTAGTAAGTTTAAAGTAGTCTAAAAAATCCTACGTCCAAGGGTTTAACGTGATGAGAGCAGTGAGCAGGAAAACAAAACAATAATACCGTTTTCTTTTGCAACCTGGAGAGCTTCAAAACTTTGACGTCTATTATAACCATCGAGTAACAAGAAAACTTGGTTGGTTTTAGAATCCTTTGAATACCTTAAAAACAGCAAATGTTTAAAAAAAACAGCCAGAAACAGAAAATGTCGAAACTCATTCATCCTTTTACTTGAGCGAAATCTACACTTCCAGTAGGTGCATCGATCATAAGTTCATCTTTCTTTCTCTGTCGAGGAAAAATTAAAGCAGGAGGAATATATGTTCCATTTGGATTCATTGCACATACGACTGTATTATGTAGACCGCGCTCTGCACTACTTAAAGCACCACCTTGTTTGCGACCTTTACTAATATAAATCTTCTACGATCTCTTTTGCACAGCTGTCAAACCGGACTCGTCCATGTTATAAATGTTTTCCGGTGGAAATTTAAACTCATCTAATATATGTGCTAATGCTGTAAAATAGACACATATATTTGGTTTATTAAAAGCTTGAGCCCTTGCCAACGAAGTATATTCTGGTGTTCGTAATGATATTCAAGGATTTCGCTTTAAAAAGCCTCTGACCCATTTCCAGCCTGCCATCTTGGTTTCCTTAATAAAACGGTGGCTAATATTGTTTCTTTGAGCTACTTCGTATAGAAGTTTTCGTAAAATTTTACTGGTCAGGCCAAAAAACGAGCTTCCATGGTGATAATATGGGCAGCAATTTCCTTTGCTGACCATATTATCAATAGCAGCAATAGCAGTGGAAAATATTGGTCTTCGTCCTCCCAAATCACCTTTGGTACTTCCTTGTTGCTTATTAAAGCGCCTTTTCAAAGTCGTTTTTATAACGTTAAATGTTTATGCTGCCAGCTTAAACCACATAGTTTTTTTTGTATGCTTTTTAAAGCTTGCTGCATATTACTCTCATTTCACTGTTGCCTTTTAAGAGGATCCATCCCTGTAAAATGTACTATATTATTCGTTAAGTAGCAACTTATTTCCTTTTTTCTATGATGGACCTCTAGTCCGTCATAGGTAGCGTCAAAGGGGTCCATCATAGGCAAATAGACAAGACAGTAAATTTAATTCTGTTACTTTTGTTTTGGCCATTCTAACCTAAAACAAAGTATAGTATTTGACAAAGAAAGTGTAGTCATTTTATACAAAACATTACCGCTACGGGTTTGAAACTTTGCAAATACTAAACTATAAACTTAGCGCGCAAGCGGCAACCGGCGATATGCATGTAACCGCGCCATATTTGAAATTACAGCAGGGGGTCCATCATAGGCAGAGGTCCAACATAGTCACACTTCGCCTAGTTTTTTGGTAAATATACATATGTTGTAATTTGTACTTATACTACATATAATACACTGTTCTCCAAAATTAACGCACTACTATAAATGTATCATAAGTTTGAAGCTATTTTGATTTTAAATCGTTGATTGGATTTTTTTTACATTATAGGTGTGTTTCTAAGGAATTACTTTTTCAACGTTTTCTAAAAAATGTTAATGTCTTACCCATATAGAGGATGAAAAAATAAAGTTGTGCTTTTTCATCTTATTTTACTATACTCTGTGAAATTCATTAGAAACAAACGCTACATCTTATTAATATTTTAAGATGGCTTCATCTTTATCAAAAAAATAGTACGTTCAAAGCAAAACATGAATTTATTAAATTGTTATACTCATTATTTAATGTAATTTAAGCAGGTAACGGGCTATGAAAAATCAACAAATTCGACAGGGCAATTTTAAACTGGCATTATTATTTACAATTCGATACATTTTTTTGCTACTTTGCGTTATGTTAGTTAGTTGATATGGACTATATTTCAAGAAATCTGAGCCGCGATGAATGTTTTATGTCGTTCAATATGAGTGGGCGCTTTACCACCCTTCCACTCGACCTAAGACGTCTATTCTGGCTCATCCCTAAGTTAAACTTGTCCCTGCAGTCCAGTCTTTTTAACAAAATCTATTACGACCTTAGGTGACACTTCTAAAGGTCGTAGGGCTGGAGCTGGCAATGCTCAAATGTATTGAGCCTTATTCTATCCAGTCTTGGGTAGTTGCACAGAACTTGTTCTGTCATCTCATCAGTCTAACAGAATCTTCAATTTGCACTTTCTGCCAATTTGATTTTGTTCATGTGCTCCTTAAGACGACACTGACCTGTTAGAAGACCTACGACAATGCGCAGAAAAATACACCTATTCATATCGAGTAATTCTTTGGATCTCTTCTTCGAAGGTTCATGTATAAAAGTCTTCGAATGTTTGAGACCAATTTGTTCGTACCAGTTGTTACGTTTCATCCGTTCCACCCAGTCTGACAATGTTCTTTTGGCTTTACTTCTTCGCCGGCTGGACTGATTCATAAAAAAGGCGCCATCCCAAACTTTAAACTAATGCGTCAGCTTTTAGTTTTTTGAAATCCTAAAGCCGGTATCACACAGCTCGTGGATCAGAAAGACACTTTTCGCTAGTTTACGTGAGGCAAAGAAGTAAAGCAAAGTGTAAAGAAGAGAGACCACGGTGAACATCCCATGTTAGTGTGAAATTGATAAATATTTACTTTTTGACAACGACCCCAATTAAGCATGTCCCGTCGAGATAAGTTTGGCGGCGCTGGCCATAAATAGATAGTTTTGCCCTATCCAGGGTCGTAAACCACAAATATTAAGCGTCAAAACGGTATTTTAGTTTGGGTTGGTTTACGTTTTCATATTTTGTCTTTTTCTATGACTTATGCATTTTCTGTCTTTCCTCAAACGTTTCTCCACGTTCTGTCAGATTGCACGTTAATATATGTTAAGTAAATCAATATTATTTGTGAACTTTTTTAATAAGCTTAATTTTAATTTAAATCCATAAAATAATTTACTATATTTATTACGAATAAACCACAATTTTACTTTAACTCTTAAGTACTAACATCTTAAATCAATGGCGTAAACACTAACTAACCGCCTGACAGACGGGTTTAACATTTTAGTGGATATATTTTTTTGTTTGATATTTTAATCCAAAAAAATATTGCGATGACTTCTGAAAGTATTAGTTATCTAAAAAATACAGTAATTAATATAGTTTATCTGTATTTATTAAAATAAAAAACACAACAAAAATGGATCGATTTTTTATGTACATTTACATTGTGTAAGCCTGAAAAAAAGTGTGATAAAAATTAAACAAATTAAAGAATCTTGATAAAAATTTTTAATAGGGTTAAGCAAAGAGTAAGAAACATTAAAAAAATAATATTTTATAAATGTTAGCTAGCACAGACAAAACTGACAGTCACTAAAGTTGGTACAGTGTAGCGCACTCCAAACAAATCTTTTTCGCACATTCCAAGCAAATTGCTTTTTGACAATGAAAGCAAACATAAGCTGTTCTTATTTTCTTTTTATAGTGACAGTAAGAACAGTCCTTTCTTTTTTCTAATTTTTCCACTCTTACTTCTGGACGCCGTTGAGGTTCATCTATACCCAGTATCTCGCATATTCCCAACTTTAGTTTTCTAGGTAAAGAGGAACTTTCTAGTCTTCTGTTTAGCTGAGGTTGGATAAGTTAAAATGCCAGTTTTTCAATAAAATTGGGCCTTTTTAAATGAGTATCATTTTTAAAAGACTCATAAAGAATATGAGCATTTACTTATATCAAACATTCTGAAATATCTAGCCATAGGCCAACGGCGAGTTAGACGACTGCCTGTAAGTTCGATCCACCCTTTGTTGTATTATAATCCACTATTATGTATGGTTTTTTAGTGTCTGTATCCTCAGTGGCTGCGTGATGAGATGATGATACCAAAATTACGGCTTTATTTTTGTGTTGTGTGTAAAAGTAAAGTAATGTGTATTGTAAAACCGTAAAATGCCGTTCCCACTTCTCGTCGTCTGTTGGGTAAGAAGATATGAGGAATTTCTTTACGATTCTTGCGGAGAGTTCCAATGCAAGTTAGACCTTTACTTCTCAATACCTTTACTAGCTCTATAGATGTAAACCAGTTGTCAAAGGTTATAGACACCAGCGTGTGTAGGTTTACTATATCTTTTCTGTTCCTCTGTAAGTCCAGTAACGTTGGAATTTTTACCGTATATATAAGCATTGAATAAATAGCTAATTCGAGCATCAGTACAACACATAATTTTTATACCATACTTCACGGGCTTACTCGGTATGTACATTTTGAAGCAACATCGATCTTTGAATCCCACTAGCATTTCATTAATACAGGCTGAAGTTCCTATAGTATAGCATGCCTTACAGTTGTTGATAAATTCACTAAACATTTCTGAAATCGGTGCTGCTGGATCCAACACTCTTCGGTATTGTCAAATTTAATATCACTTCTCTCATTTCTGTCTTCGGGCATTGTCAAATCGCAAACATGACAAAAAGAACGCATTATTTCTCTACCAGTTCCATTAGTAGCAAAAATAGTATCTAAGTTTTCATTGTTTGATTTAAATAAGCATGTAAATGCTAAAAATTCCAAAAATGCATAATGTTCTGTCATGTCAAGGTCTTGGAGAGAAGGTGAATTTTTATTTTTGTACATGCTCTTTCTTTGCCGATTTTCACATTCGTCCATTTTAGAATTATGTTGCAAATATTATTACTAATAATAACTTACAAACCTAAAAGGGTCTGCACTATCTCCAATTTCAGCTGCAGGTCGTAATCCAGGTTACTGTAAAATTATATTCTTCTGTGGATGCCGGCCTCTATTTGAAGTGGGAGGATTTTTTGAAAAGTTGTATCTATTTTTACCATAGACATAGTTCCTTGTCTCTTCTGGATCGTCTTCTTTACTGCTTTGGGTAATGCTATACTATGCAGTCTACCGTCGCGTTTATACTATAGTTTATGGTCTACCCAGGGATGAGGTGTATACGCTGTATTTGACTAAAACATTTTTACAAAGTGTTGTTGTTGTTTGTTTGTGTTTAAATGACTGCGGACACTAAATCCATTCGCCAATCTTACAATTTGAGGTGTAGTGTGTGTGTGTGTGTGTAGAGTAATTGTCTTGATACTTAGCAAAGTCGACGTCATTGTCTTTGCTAAGAGACGCTAATTGTATCCGAACGTCTGCGGTCCCTCCGGTGTGTACCGATCACACAAGGATAGAAATTATTTTCATTTATTAATTTTTTAATAAACGAAAATTTCCACCCAGGTGGGATTCGAACTCACGACCTTTAGGTTTAAAGGCAGGCGCTCTTACCACTGAGCCACAGAGGGGGTTTTTACAAAGTGAATAAAACACATAAATCATAAGAATTTCAATTTTAATTTTACAAATCAATACTTTTAATAAATAATTCTTCTACATTATGCGTTTTATTCACTTTGTTCTTTTCTATCACCTGTATCATAAAAATTCCACAAGAAATTAATTTTAGAATCATATTAACGTTAATTTAAAAAATTTGTTGTATTATTTTAGATATGCCGATAACGGGGATCTTTTGGATTTTATTAAAAAAAATGGAGTCGTGCCTGAGCAGCAAGCTAAAATATGGTTTAGACAAATGGCCAGCGGACTTCATTATCTTCATGGTAGGAACATTTCACATCGGGATTTAAAATGTGAAAATATTTTGCTTTCGAGAAGATTTAATGTAAAGTTGGCTGATTTCGGTTTTGCGCGATTTTGTGTCGATTCGGATAATAGAAGAATACTTAGTCAAACGTATTGCGGATCGGCTGCTTATGCAGCTCCTGAAGTCGTCAACGGAACACCATATAATCCCAAGCTATCTGACGTTTGGTCCTTAGGAATAATACTATTTATAATGCTGAATGCTTCTATGCCTTTCGACGATTCAAATTTAAGAAAATTACTAAAAGATCAAATGACTAAAAACTGGGTTTTTCGATCAAGAGTAAGAGATAGTCTATCCACATTGGCTAAATCATTGGTGAGACATCTATTAGAACCTGATTTGACTCAAAGACTAACGCTAGATAGAGTTATGCAACATGAATGGCTAAGAATGCGCAGAGAGAGGCCTTCTCTTATTGGCAGGTTGGTACATAATTCTGTGGAAAATCATTTTCCACATGTCAGTGTGTATGACGACGAAAAAGTACCTGGAGACTTTCAAAATCCCGATAACAAGAAAAGCGAAATGAGGATAGCTATCAACGACAATTCAATGAATTGAATTAATAGGGGTTAAGATGGCTGGTATGATTTTTAAAGATATATAATTTAACTGTTTTTACTATACTAGCTTAATGGTTCATTAAATATTTCATATTCCTATAAATCTGAACATATTTGTTTAAAGTGCTATAATTTTATGTTTTGTTTTATTGGTTTCTGGAATATTGCTATTAAATTTATAGCCAGGTAAACATATTGATTATAATAAGTTTTAAGTTGTACACATTTTTAATATTATAGATACAAGTAATAGGGGTGACTCGGGAAGGTAGTACAGTTTGTAGCAATTAATATTTCTAGAGCCATTGATTGTGATACCGGTTTGCATGTTTATTAATTTGCATTATAATTAATGATTATTTTATGCATTATAATTAATCTTGATAATATGGTAAGTTTCAGTATGCGCGATTGATAAACAGAGTAAATATTTGTTTATATTTACAATAACTGGATTTTATCAAAAAAAGATTATATAGTATAGGTCAAGATACAGTGTTTTATTGCTTTGACTTGTAAAATAAAACGTCTGTATCTTGACTTATGCTTCACGTACTTTGATACTACGAATAGCACAGACAAACGAGGAAATGAAATTATTATTGTAGTTTAGAGATTCTAGATAAAGTATATTTAGCCTTCTACAGTCACCGATGTAACAACTTATTTCATAATATATCCTATCTCACCTACTACTTGGCTAAACATTTATATTTTAAAATTAGTGTACACAGAAACACAAAGGTTTACATTTAATATTTTTAATCATTCTGTTTTCTAAAGCACATAAAATGTATACATCGTATTTTTCAGCCATTTATATATAACAACTGATTATTTAAATACAATCATGAAAGTTACTATATCGACTCATGTAGCTTTATATTTAATAATTTATAGAACATTTTAAATTTAATAAGAGTTGAATACCTAACCTTTTCAAGAATTATTAGGAAACATGAAATCCTACTATCATCATCATAGCATCTTTAGTTTCATAGAGAGTAAAAACAATATATCTTTAAGAGCTATACTAGCCAAATAAAAATACTAAAGACAATTAATTTCGGGAACCTTAAAATAAATTGTTAACGTATATAATAAATATATAAATAACAAAAAATTATTATGCTTATAGTTTATTAGAGAGTGAGAAATAAAATGTGTGAGTGGCTGCAATAAACTCTAATAAGAAGTAACAGCCCCGAGAATGGTGAAATATAATAATAGTATAATATATATATATATATATATATATATATATATAATATATATATATATATATATATATATATATATATATATATATATATGTATGTACCGGGTGGTGAATCGTCAAACGGGCCATAGGAAACTCAATGGGAAATTTTAAATTGTTGAATTGCTGCTTTCCTAATTATTTTAGATCAAAAGTCATAAAAAACTATTTGTAGAGAACTAAAATCTGAATTAAAAAGAAATGTTAAAACCGTTCTACGAATTAAAGATACTTCAACATTGTGCAAAAATATAATACATTTTTCAGGCCACTCCTAAAAGTTAGGCCACACGTAGGGCAAGAATTATATTATGACGTGTGTGATTTATCATATTGATGTCAGATGTTCGACAATATTTAAAATTGTCAATTTTTTTATTTTATGATTAAATTATAAACAATGAATTTTACTACATACTACTACTACTGAACAACAAATATTACTAGTGAACAATAAATTATATTGTTTACAAATCAATAAACAGAATGAAATGTACTCAGTTGACGAAAAATCGCGAAATGTAGTATTCAGGCAATAGTGCGAACCTTTTCTTTATCTAAGGTGCGAGCACTACCAGATCTTTATTTAACGTTAGATATTCTAATACACTAAAATTTAATTCCAAGTTATACAACAATTCAATGAATTCCAATATAGTGTTACTGTGATCCTTATTCCTAAAAATAATTTATGATAATTTCTAAACATAAAACTATAACAAATTTTATAATGAAACATTAATAAAACATTTTTAGTATTGCTCTTTTCTTAACTGAGTACATTTTTTAATCAACTTAATTTTTTTTAAACAGTAGATCACAAAATAAAAATGTTGGCCATTTAAATCATAGATAAATATAATATAGTTGATTTAAATATTGTCAAATATCAGAAACATCAATATGAAAAAGGCAACACGTAATACACATTTTTTCACGGCGTCTGACCTGACTTTTAGGGGTGGCCTGAAAAATGTATTATATTTTTGAAAAATTTTGAAATACGTTTAAATCGTAGAACAATTTTAACATTTGTTTTCAATACATATTTGAGTTCTCTACAAATAGTTTTCCATGACTTTTGGTGTAAAATAATTATGGAAGCAGGAATTCAATAATTTAGAATTTCTATTGAGTTTCCTACGGCCCGTTTGACGATTCACCACCCTGTATATATATATATATATATATATATATATATATATATATATATATATATATATATATATATATATATATATATATATATATATATATATTTATATATATATATATATACATATATATATATATATATATATATATATATATATATATATATATATATATATTACAGGATCCAACTTGTAAATACGATAAATTTTGGACAAGGCAATCGCCGTTTTCCCGTTCTGATCCGCTAATCCTCCCGGTCCAAGGCATGCTCCTCCTCTAAACCTCTCGGTTGGATCCCTCTTCTAATTCCTTCATTCCATGAGCATCGAGATCTACCCCCTTTTCTTCTTCCAGGAGGCTTCCATCTGTGAAGTTTTTGGGGCCAACGTTCGTCAGGCATTCTCAATAGGTTAATTACTATTAAACTCGGAATAAGCCACAATTAAAGATAAAAATACGTTTATTGACGTTTCAATTTCCACTTCGGAAATCGTTCTCAAAATACAAACAGTAAATTAAACAAATTTTGTTTTTTGTTACATAGTGAAAAATTCTTCGAATAATTTAATTTTATCTGACTCATTTATATTGACAATTCAGACACACATTATGCATTTTAAAGTAGACGACTTTAAAATGATATTGTCAATATTGTTGAGTTGCGCTCCTGGGACGACTTTAGTTATAAGATAGTTCATTCGATTACATGAAATCAACTTTAACTTGAGAATATCCGTCAGAAAAAAATCATAGCATGTAATTCGTCTTTAAAAAGACAAACACATGACATGATGACAGGTAAATTCTCCTGTTAGTGATTCCATAGTAAATTATGAGGGAAAACCAGGAAAAAACCTCATAATACTATCCCGACATTGTAAGTATTTGTTCGTGAATTTAGTTTACCTTCAACAAACATCAAAATTCTGATTTTATATGTTACGTTGTTGCAGAATGAGGTTATCGTCGCCACGAAAGCCTGCTTTGCACACCTCGAGAAAACTTATTTTTCAGACAAGTTAAAGAAATTGAAGCATCGCTGGGTCAGCTAAAAGGAGACTATGTTGAGGAATAAATCTTGACTTTTCCAAAATTTTCGTTTTTATTTTATAGGCTTAGTACTTATCTGACCGGCCTAAATGTACAAGGAAAGAATAGTTTAGTTGTCAAGAGACGAAAATGCCACTAAACCTCTAGAAAACAAACGAAAAAGAAGAATTTTGCTACGAATGCCAATTTTGAAACCCCAAAAAATATACGATAAGAAAAAAGTTTGCCACTCTACCCTGGGCTTCCCACTAAATCCCCATCGATTAACCAAGAATATATACCCCGTATGAAAAAATGTTTCAAACAAAAAATGTAGCGGAGATTTTGAACAAAAATGTTTAGTAGCACTTTTACTGTAGAATGGACCATTCTCTCAGAAATAGCGCTTAAAGTAACCAGTGATTTTGAGTGACACTTCAGTCACGCGCGAGAAATCAGTTTTTTGAATAAAATTTGTATCAACTCTATGGTAAAAATTCGATACATTTTGATCGGAGGGTTCTATGAACAAAATTCGTTTTAAATATGAAAAATGCAGCTTTCGTACGCAATTTTTATATTTTGCTGCAAATTAAGTCAGTTTCTATGAAGCTCTTAAATAAAAATAAACGTTTCCCGATTTTTGTCATTTTTTAAGATTCTCATGAGATCAATAAAATTTATCGCTGCCATTGACCGGTCACTTTAAATCTCCATTGTTATAGCTTAACCTTCAAAACATATAGCATGTTATTTAGATTTCAGATTAAGCTACAAATTTAGCGAAAAACGTTAAAAGTAGAAGACTTAGAAGAACTATATCTCGCTTAAAATTAGTTCTAGATCCTTCTATAGTAGACCAAATAGAAGGTGTACTATACAACTTATTGGTATTCACACTTTTAAATGAATCGCCTGCATTATTCGTGAATTTCTTACATTACCGCATACCAAAGAATACATCGGGCACTGTCTACGAAGAAGCTCTGCCGCTTTACTGGTTGATAGAGGTGGTACTATATCCAACTTGAAAAGACACAGAGGATGGAAATCAACTATAATGTAGCTGAGAGATACGTAGAAAATTCTTTAAGAAATAAAATTCACATAGCTTTACAGATTGAAAATGGCCGCAACCAAGTTAATATCTCAAAAAATAGTAAAATTACTGACACGTCTAACACTAAGTTCAATACTGCCACTTCTATTAATATTCCTAACAATATCAATGTAAATAATTGTTATAATTGTGTTATTATTCATAAGTAGATTTTTCTAATGTTAAATTCACGAGAGTAACTTTAAAGTGTTTAATAAAAGTTCATGAGTAAATTTTTTCCATATATTCATTTTAACATACAAAACGGCTGCCGAAAAAAGATTGTACGTAAAACGATCCAAAAGCAATTTGAGACTCACAAGATTCCAGGACTCGCCTACCGCTCGCCCTGGAAACTCCCTACTCGTCTCGTAAAATAAAATATCACTTTAGGAACTTTTTACTTAAATTACTATTACGTGTCGAATTTGTATTAAAAACAGTATAGTAATAGATTATATATACAGTAGAATAATTAGAGCGGGTTAAATGAAATATAAAGTGGCTTGGATAACCCTAGTTTCTATGTCATTCTAATACTTAAAAAAAAGAAGAGGATTTTGCTGACTCTGACCTGACAGTGACGTTTCGTTTAGGTTATCAATTTATATTTTACAAACAAGAGAAAATATAAACAGATAAAGTAGGTGCGTTTTTTTAAAATAAGATATAATGGATTTAAATATGAATAATTTAAACAACGCTGTGGAAAATAATTCCCTTAAAGTAACAGGTGTCAATTTAAAAAGCAAAATTGAAGCAAGCTTGGTAAGTACCTATATGTTACAACTTTTTGTTTAGACCAATAATAAATTCTAATTTTAGGGATGGCCTGTGGACAGTTTTTATCTTACCCTTAATGGAAGAATCGTACAATCAGATACCATTATCCAACATGCATCAATAGATTCTTTAAGGATTATTCCCAGACTTTTTGGTGGAAAAGGTGGTTTTGGTTCCATGCTTAGAGCAATAGGAGCACAAATTGAAAAAACTACAAACAGGGAAGCATGTAGGGATTTAAGTGGCAGAAGACTAAGAGATATCAATGAAGAACAAAGGTTTGCATACCAAATTTTGTTGTATTGACCTGGTAACACTTTATGTGCAGATGTCATACATGTGACATAGTGTCTCCACCAATATACAGGCAGCTCACATGTATGCCATTAGGTATACACATTTGTTAAATGTAAATAAGTTTCAGTTTAGAGTATAATCTTAGCTCATACATGTGTTCAAATCCTTTTGAAGCAATCATTTTTTGAATAAGTCTGTAATTTTAATAATGCAAGTAGTGGTTTTAGTAATTTACTAGTTTATATGAGTAATTCATAAAATATCATCATCATCATTGGTGCTACAGCCCTATAAAAGAGCCCCAACCTTCCCAAGTCTATTAAGCCAGTCAGTTCTACCCATTGCCAACTGTTGCCAGTTTGCTGTGCCTATTTTTCTACCATCCTCATCTACACCATTCCCCCATCTGAGTTTTGGCCTACCCCTACTTCTACTTCCCACAGGTTGTGACATAAGGATTCTTCTAGGAGGGTTGTTCTGCTGAGATCTTGTCAGATGTCCGGCCCATCTTAGTCTTCCTATTTTTATAAGAGATACTACATCTTTACCACCAAATATATATTTATATCTGTGATATATCTTATAGTTGTACCTCCTTCTCCAAACACCATTTTCACAGATGCCACCAATACCACAATTCATAAAATATAGACTTTCAAAAAATTAGTTAAAAATCAAAATGTATACCACTTATTACAAACAGAATATTCAGAGGTCCCCAGGTCTCCATATTAAAAAATGTTTTCACTATTTTGTAAGAGTTTGTGATATAGTCACTTAGGATTTTACTCTAGTTTATTAAACCATAGAACATTTTCTCAGATTTAATTAATAATAACCAGTTTGAATAAATAACACCACTTTTAATTTGTATTACAGATTAAAAAATTGGATAAATCAACAAGCTGAACGTGAAAAAGAAGCAAAGGAAAGAAAGAAGAAGAAGCTTGAAAAGATGTGTGAACAACCTAAATATGAATTCAATGATTCAGAATATGACAAAGAAAGATCTGCCCTTCCAGAAATGGTCGAGGATGCTGTACTTCAAGGTCTCCAAGCTACTAGCAGCACTAGTGATACCAGCAAGAAGCGCAAAACTAATAAAAAAGAAGTGATTAAAAAGAAAAAAGCAAAATTATGGTTAGTTTATATTTAAATAATAGCTTTTTTTATTAAGATAATAGTTGCTTTCATATCACACACTTTTCATCCAATATCTCCTTCCTGGTCTTAATTAGTTACTCCTGCTATAACTTACCATTCAGCAACTCTCATATTGGTATATTTATATGTGAAATTTCTAGTTATCTCAACTTTGAACTTTTTTACTATATCTTTTAAGTTAGTGAAAACTATTGTTAATTATTTAAAGTTGTATTATTTATAGCAATTTTAACAAATGTTGGTTATGCTTCTAAATCATTGGGGTTTAATAGATAATGATGGTCATTTAAAAATATTTAAACTAAAAGTGTAAACACTGGTAGTTACAGATTACCAATTTATAATAAACATTTCAAGTAGATTTTTATTTTCCTTTATAAAGGAAACACATTCATTTTTCTCAATATCAATGATTCTGTTAAGTTTACTAATTAGACTTAATTTTAATAATTGCATATAGAACAAATGCCTTTCAACTTTAGATATAAAAAACTCTCCATTTATTTTCCTAACTTTTTTGTTTTAGGGTTGATGATGAATTGGATGAAGACCTTAGTTCAGAAGATGATGGGAGTGGAGAAGAATCATCAAACGACTCTAAACATGATGAATTTAATATAGAAAAGTCATCTCAATCAGCAAGACCAGTCAATTCATTAGAAACTGTTCCAAATTCTGTGATTCTAGATACAGCATCAGAACAAAAGGAAAAGGTTCAAGAAGCATAGAATTTATTATCTATAACAATAAAAATGTAAAAAGCCAATTTCAAATTAACAAATAAATATAAACAATTTTGGCAACAGGGAGTAGTTTTTTTAATTCTGTGGAAAGATGGCGAAACCATATATGTCAATTTTTGATAGTTTTCAGGAGAGCACTTTTAAGGTTTCAAACATAATATTAATTCGGTGATAAAAGGTATTGTTATGTTTTTTGTGCAATAGTACAAAGAACTGAATGTACTTCTAATGTGTGAAACATGAAGAGAGATTATTTGCTAGTTTTTGGAATATCTTAGATATTTTAGATATATGTGCTTTTGCCATCTTAGAAATTAATAGTTTTATGTATATATTATTTTGAAAGGGAAATGAAAAACAAGACATTTATATTTTATTTTAATGCTTGAAATATTACAAATTGGATTTGTATAACCAATTAGTCTTCTAAATCCGAATCCAAGGCATCATCGCACAATTCGTCATATTCTTTTGCGTTGGATGTGGTTGGCAAATTTTCATAAAAGGCATGGCAGTCTTTGTCTATCAGGTCTAACATCGATAAAAGGTCCTTCTTTTTCTTTGGATTAATACCCAAGGGGCTATTGTATGAGCGAGGGACAGTTATGGTAGCCAGTGATGGTCGACCTCTTCTTTTTCCCCTTCTTATATCTAGAGTTTTAAATGGCGCTTCATCGTCAAGGGTATATTTAAACTGAATTAACCCAAACTCCTTGGTATATCTTAGCCATTTAATATTAAGCCAAGATATCTTTTCACCTTCAGTGTCGCTTGTGCGTTTGACTAGAATGTCACGTAAGAGCTTGGAAAACGCCAGAAAATCTTCTTGTCTAATATCAACCACTGTAAATTTGGATTTGCCCCTAAGTGATCGTACAAACTGAAACCAGTCCCGTGGTACCATTATTTTAAAATCATTTGAAATTTGCTTTTTACATCTTTCAATTCGTGCGTGGTCACTATCACACTCAAGGCGTGTATGACCTGGCAAAAGAAATTTCTGATCAATTATTTCGAGAGTTGGTTTCTTCTGAATGGCATACAAAAACATAACAGCCATATTAATGTTGCGGTTTTGTCCTCCGCACGTGTCCGAATATGTTGTTACTTGCTGAACGATCTCTGATAAACTCATTATTTTACTGTAGAGGCATGAGGCAATTTGATCAGAACCTCTGCCTCCAATGACTTCATACCACATAAAGCAAACAGACGATTCAGTGGAAGAACAATCACGTATAGTAAGATTATACACAGATAATAAACGCTTATAGTAGACTATGTTAGTTGATAAATAGGGAGCTGGTAAGACTTGTTGTAAATCAAAAACCAGTACTCTTTTTGTTTCATCATTTTTAGCTATCTCTTTGTCTTTTCGTTTGCTTTCAAAGGCTTTATTAGCGTCGTTAATGTGGTCGTCCCGTTGTTCATTAATTTTTGCTCTAGCTGCCTCAGTACTAGCATTCTTTTTTAGTGTTTGATATTCGTCACATTTGCGACATGTATCGATGTAGGGCTGTTTAAATTTATACCCGGTACTATTGAATACGTCACGAAAAACATCATAACTAGCAGATTTCTTTAACCCTTTTTTTAATATATCTTCTTGATATTCTTTATGCATTTGACGAATGGTTAGGTGGCTCGGTAGAAATATTTGATTAGGATTATCTCGCCTTGCATAATGACTTTCATGTCTTGGATATTGATCTATAAATTTCTTAATTTCACTGCGTTCTTCGACCAACTTATTAGAAGGTACATGCTGTCCTCTCATATCCGTTTTTATAAATCCATCCTCTGACGATTTTAGTTTTTTAACGAGCAGATTTAGCTGGTTTACTGTTACTCCATGGACATTGATAAAAAAATTTTTGCACACAGTTACAATTTTCTGAGGTTCTATATGCACTGAGTAACTAACAGTTACGACCCGATTATGTGGCTTCCCCCCTTTCATACCTCTGCCTTTCATTATTTGGTATTTGCATTTAGAAAGAGTCATTCTTTCACATAGTACTTGTTTACGCATATCTGGAGCTTTGTTATTAAAACTAGACCAAATTATATTTTGTTGTTCAGGGGTGCAATTTTGATGACAATTTTTTGTACAACATTTTGTTATTGGTCTAAATACTTTAGCTGGGCATAAAACTCCTTTCCTGTTTCTGTAGGCCAGGCCTAAATTTTTTTTCTTGGTTTCCTCTGCACGTTTTCTGATACCTCGTTTTCTTTTTTTACTGGTCGGTTTTGTTTCATGAGTATTACTACCAACTTGTTTTTCAGAACAATCTGATTCCTCACATTCGATATCATGGATACCATCTTCTACGTCGTTTGGCAAGCAATCTAAAATTATAAAATACAAATTAAAAATTATGATCACTCTTATTTTTAGGATAAAATAAACAAACCGTCAAAATTTCCTGAACCAGCAGTTTTAATTATTCTCGCTAGTCGGTTAGCGCCATCCTCTTCTGGATACCAGTTAGGATCTTCATCCGAATTATCTTGGTTTAAGTCAAAACTTCTATTGGAATTGTTATCATCTTCCTATAAATTTAAGACTGTCAAAACAATTTTTTCAAGTTTCTGGAAAATTTTAGAAAGCGAAGGCATGTTTTTATTAAAAAATTATTTTTAAGAATTTTTTTGACGCATACATACAAAAAAAAAGTATCTTAAACTTACGTAACCAAAAAGATCCACATCTAATCCAGGTTTAGTAAAAGGTGCTACATTCTCTTTATTTGTTTCAAAAATGGCTGTAACATCGTTTTGTGTTGAATTGAAACTAGAAAACGCTGTTTCTAGGTTAGAAGGATTATTCTTGTAATTTTCGATGGACGTAACTGTAAGATATGGCTTAAAATAAACACTAGAGATCTTTCGTATGGCTGTTTATTTAAGAATACATAACACAAGTGTCTCAATAACTTCTAACCTAAGTGTTACGGCTGCTGCCGTCAGGCGCCTAGGTGACAACTGTCCTAACAGGTAACTGTCATTACCATTACCTTTTAGGACTTCAGCCACCTTTACATATGGCACATATTACATCTCCCCCTTTTTACAAATTCAGTTTTAAAGGTGGTTTAACAACTCTACCTGATTTAGTTCTATAATTATCTGCTTGTTCAGTGACATTATTTTGTATGTCAGTAGAGGTAGGCAACTCTGCCTCTGTTGTCTGTGTTGAGGATGAGGGTTCTTGATCTAAATCTACATCACTTGTATTTGTAAGTATTGTAGTTGGTTGTGACTTAAATCTATTTAGGGATTCTCTAATATCTACTCTATTGCGACGGACAATATTATTATGCTCATCTCTCAAGATATAAGACCTTGGAGCTTCATGCTGCGATACTATTTGGGCTGGTTCCCACCTCTTTTGACATTGATTGTACATAACAACATCTGTCTCAGATTCTAACGACTCTAAATCCTTAACACCTTGGTTATAGTCTCTAACATACACATTTCTCCTTTTACTTAATTTTTCTTTCACATTTATGCATAAAGCTGGTTTTAACATATCTTGATCAATAGGTAATTTGGTTCTACAGTGTCTGCTCATTAAGAGTTGTGAAGGAGTATAACCAATGTGTTTAAGGGGTGAATTCCTATATTGTAATAATGCTGATTCAACATCAGACCTATCATCAATAGACTTTTTAACAATACTCTTAGCAATTGCTACACCTTTCTCAGCAAGCCCATTTGACCGCGGATAATTGGGACTTCTAAACTTAATTTGAAAATTCCATTCTGTAGCAAAGTTTTTAAAATGATAGCTATTAAAAGGAACATTATCACAGCATATATAAGCTGGTGAACCATGTATAGCAAACATTGATTTTAGAACTTTAATGACAGAAAAAACAGATTTGTCTTTTATCGAGTGAAGCTCTATCCAGTTTGAAAAAGAATCATAAGCGACTAGATAACTTGTACCATAACATGTGAAAATGTCAATGCCGATTCTTTCCCATGGATATTCTGGTAAAGGGTATGGACATAATGTTTCCCTTTGTTGCTTCGATCTAAACTTTTCACAAGATTTACATCTTTTTATATAAGTCTCTATATCAGAGCTCATTCCTGGCCAGTAAAAAATTTGCCTGGCTCTAGCTTTTGATTTTTCAATACCAATATGACCCTCATGCACTAGCCTTAACATTTCAGATCTTAAGCTTTTAGGAGCAACAATTTTATTCCCATAAAATAACAAGTTATCACAGACACATAAGTTGTCTCTGAGCTTAAAAAAATTATTAACTATCTGTGGCACATCACGCTTGTGTTCTGGCCATCCCTGTATGCACAGGTTTATAACAGTTTGCAATTGCTCATCTTTTTGGGTTTCTATTCTAAACTCTGATTTTCTAGTATCAGACATAGCAACATTATTTACTACAGCATGAACTGCAAACTGAAATTCAGCATCTGACTTCAGACCTCCTTCTTGTAAAAATGCCCGAGATAATGTATCTGCAATGTACAGATACTTTCCAGGTTTATATACTACATTTAAGTCATAATGCAATAGCCGTAAACGCATTCTTTGCAAACGTGGAGATAATGCACATATATCTTTACGAACTATTGATTCTAGAGGTTTGTGATCACAACTAACAAGCACATTGTGACCATACACAAAATAATGAAATTTTTGAAACGCAAAAACTATTCCTAACATTTCTTTCTCAATCTGAGCATATTTTTGCTCAGTTGTGCTTAAGCTCCTAGATGCAAAGGCTACTGGATGGCCACCTTGCAGCAAACAAGCGCCTAACCCATCTTTACTGGCATCAGTTTCAATTTCTATTTCTTTAGATGGGTCAAAAAATGTTAGCACTGGTGATGCTGTTAGCAAATGTTTTAATTGAAACAAAGATTTATCATGAATACCAGTCCAGTGCCAAGGGACATCTAATTTTGTTAGTTCTCTTAATGGGGCTGTGACTTTTGACATGTTAGGTACAAATTTGCCCAAAAACTTTGCCATCCCCAATAGTCTCATTAGATCAGATTTATTATCAGGTGTTGGCATTTCTAGAAT